ATCTCTTCTTTTTTATTATTACTCATTCGTTGAACTTTTCCATTCTGTTGTTCTTCATGTCTTCTAATCTTGTTTCTATTTCTCTTATTATCTGTGCTATCTCTTCTGTTTTTTTGTTTGTCTTTCAACTTTCTCCATTTTTCTCCCTAATTTTATGTTTCCTATTTTTACTATTACTAATTTCTCCCGCATTTTTTCTGTGATATGATCTCTTCTCGCTTATACCCTTCTTTTTTATTACCGTTGTTCTGTCATGAATTTTCGTTAACTCCTGTTAACAACTGGATATCTATATTTACATTATTTTCCACATCATTTAACACTAAAACTATCAGACGGGTTAAAATGACTGGTTCCTGATTTCTTCTTTTTGCAATTATTACAAAAATAACAGATGTTTCCTTGAGAAGTTATTAAAAAAATTCATCTGGTAATAAGCAAATTGAATTGTAAATCAATTAAAGTGTTAATAAACGTACTCTTGGAGTTTCTATAGAAGAACTTCAAAAAGTCAATTTAAATGCTTGGTAATATTAGTGTTAGTAAAACTGATTCGGATTTTCATTCTTTTGAGTACATTTATGTCAATCTGTGCTTTGAAAATGAAAAATTTGTGCGGAAACATTATAATTATAACATTATGAAACTTCATTTTATCCAATTACCACGCAAGAATTTAACTCAGAGCTATGGAACATTTAATATGAATGCAATGTCGTTGACGTGTCATTTCGGACAAGACGTCTCATATTTCTTTCCATTAGAACGCGAAAAATCTCTATTAAAAATTCAGATAAAAATCAGCGCGTGCATCTTGCCGTCTACAGATATGAAAGGGGTTAACGATAAAGTAGTTTTATGTTTCCTGCACGTCAGGTAATTCAATGTGACGCATACTGTTACGTTACACTATTTACACCAATATCTTGCTTCTTTAGGTAGCTCTTTTTCTTTATATAGGCCTCAGCGAAATTTAAGTCGGTGTAGCAATTTTCCATCACATTTTCTCTTTCGTCATCAAAATCTTCGGTAGGTGCGAAATACTTTTAAATACTATTGGTGTGAAATACTTTTTTAATAATCCAAAAATTATGTTGTCATCAAGAAATAAAAATAAGTTACACAACACGATATTTCGAATTATTTTGCGTGCTAGGAATCTAGAATTATTTATTTATAAAAGCGTAACATATTCTTCATTTAGCATTGATAATTTCATTCACCTTCACCGATGACACAATTCACAAGCTGATCTTTATACAAAACTTCATACAATATATCTTGTGTCATATATCAATACGTCCAGTATTGCCATCACAAAAATATTTTATGAAAAATTGGAAAACAAAATGCAGATGAAATTATGTACAGTCAGCAACAAATGTATTTGAATATCATGAGAAGAAATAAATTATAATTAAAGAAATTGTACACTGTATATTGCTATTTATTGAAACAAATTGTATTTATATATATATGCAATACAATTTTATAAATTGTTAGCATTATGCAAACAAATTATGGAACATTTATCACGTTTAAACGTGGATAACGGTCGAATATTTCTATTCGTGACTGTATATCAAATTTCAATGTTTTTGCTTCCATTCTCGTGACGATGCGATTGAAATTATTAGAGTTTACATTTATATAATGTTGATAACTATAACTGGGTAGAAATAAATGAGAAGTCTTTTTCACGGATCATCATAACATTTACGTAAATGTTAACGGAATAGCGTAATTTTATAGCATTCATCAATTTTCTTCTTTCAGTTTATTATACGTTGTTGGCATGAAAATTTTATTATTGGGTTTATGTTTACTTCCAGAATTCTTGAAACACACGCCATGCATGAAAAAAGTTCAACCGCAATACGAACTTTGCAACAAAAGATATCAGCGAACTGCTCACGAGATCGAAAGAAGCAACTTCACGAGTCAAAGCGGATACCTGAAGAACATCTGCTGGTAAGTGATGTTCATTACTGTCTTGAGAGATTTTCTTTATTTTAACACACTGCGTACCGTACCGGATTGCGTATTTTATTGATAAATGCAGGATTGACATTTATTGAATAGCTTCGCATTATTTGTATTGAATAAGTTAAAATTAAATGTTTACTCGTTACAGTTTACGGAATGTTGAAATATTATAAATTTTATTTATTTCATAAATTGCGCAGTGAGATGCATTGCAAGGTAGCACAGAATTACGTAAATAATTAATTTATGTCACAGTTGAACGCATCATTTTACCAACAGAGTTAGACAATATTACAATATTATAAATTACATATTACGAATGATGATTAAAATATAATAATTAATTTGATTACGATTTAACACTAATTGTTAGTTTGTTACTGACCTAAACTTGTAATTAAGATAATTATAATTAGCTAAAAACAGCAGTCTTAGAAGGTAATTTTTAATATAATTAATCGATATATTTATTATTAACGTTTAATTAAATTGTATTCTGTCCAACTGTTTTTGAAGAACGTCTGTCATATTTTAGAACGGTATGAATACTTTGAAGATGGATAAAAAATATTCTTTTCTTATATTATTTTTTTCTCATGATGTGTTTTATGCTTTTTTAAATGCGTGTTTGCTACAAAGTCTCAGAATATCTATTAAATAATCAACGATGGATAACGATTGATATAATTTTATTGTAATTACGTGATGATGTAATTTCATTCGTTATGTGATTATAATGATGTTTATCTGGTATGCTTACTGCGATAAATATTCATCTGTCTGCAGACAGTGCGTACTAGAATAATATTATAATATATCCTTGGTTCTGTTTACGTCTCCTGTACTTACATCCATTATTAATTTCTATGCGTTTCAGTCGCATTTTCCTGTTTGGATAATGCGTTGTGAATTTCATCATTCCCCTGATACTTTTTACAATGTGTGATTTTACAATTTGGATAATTCCTCAAGTTCCTCGAACACCTTCAAACTCATCGCCTACACAATAGATTCAAAATATGTCACAAAACTCAGAATCGTCGTATGTAATCCAAATATTTAACCCTAAAATTACCAAGCAATGAAAGTGACAAGTATACAAATTTATTATCCGCTCCAAAAGCGTCTTCATACATTACATACTTGCAAAATAAATATTTTGAAATGGGACAATTTGACCTGTCGGGTACTTAGTTCTAGTCTTAAGTCAGTAAATTTTCTTTTATTTTACCAATGAGAAAGAGTTAACGCTTTATTTAAATTCAACTTCAATTCTAATTAATTTTTGAGTTTATTCAACAAACAGTTATTCATACATCATAATCTAAGCGTTGCGTTGAAAAGAAACACAACAATACTTTTTGGCTAATCTAATATTTTGTGTTAATTAGACTGCACATTCTGATAGCACATTTTTCATTCAAAGCTGAATAAATCGACGATAAAAAATCATAAACGTATTCGCGCATAACATTTTTTACTGTGTCTGCAGAGGTGATTGAATTTGTAAAGTTTTTAAAACGAAAAAATATGTTCACTTCGTCATCTGTTACATGATCTACGAACATTTTAGAATATAATAAACAGTAAATCGCAAAAGTAGAAGCTTCACCTTTTAAAATGAGCTCAGGTGCAATGTTATATAATTTTCTGTACAAAGTTAAAATAGTTTGATTATTGGCAATTTTTCGCCGAAAATATAGTGTTACCTTAATTTAAGTGGTGTTTTTATTGAATTTATTGAAGTAAGTGAAGTTTAATGCATTGCAACTTTTTTCGTGCCGAATTTCATTTTGAAGGGGTGAAACCACCCCTTGAAAGAAATGCAAATTTTCTTCCCCGTGGATTATTTTAAGAATGGCAAGAGATAGTGAAAAAATGTTTAAACAACATATACATTGTTCTTTCACGTCTATAAAATATTAAAAACGTCTGTTTTGATTTTTTTCCTGAAGTTTCGAGTGCGTCGGATGTAAAAGTAGACTAACAGTAAGTGCTAATGTAAGTGAAGTGCTACGAATCAAGAACGATGGACAATTGCATAATGCATAAGTATGAAAATTGTTACTATTTGAAAATCAGATTCTGTCTGGCCGACATATAATCACAGGAAATGAGGTAGGCGGAATCACTCGTACATGGAAAATATACTTGCTGATATATGATTGAAAGTAAAGAAATGAGTTCTTCCCCTCGTGTTCATCGCCGCGAAAACTCCTATTCCTTGTTGCCAATGAATTACTCAGTCTACGCAACAACGTGGTAAAAAAGTCGAGGTGGGAGCCCATAATATTAAAAACGTATGAGTCTTCAGATTACTTTTACTTTCTTTTATCTTTATTAATTTGTATATACGTGAGTTCGATACATGTGGCCATTGCAATCATCATAATTCATATGTACGCCGTTATAATTAAACTGTGTTCATATTATCAGTGAATAGTATATATGTTACAATTATTAGCGTATTATTATATTATTATGCTACGCTATATATTATCATATTATTAGATTATTATTATAATTTACGTACTGATTTTAGAGCTCTTATCATTTAGAAGTAAAAAATGTATAAATCATTACTCGCGCGAATAATGCCGTATTTTGCGAAACATTTTGACATAAAAAATCATTAATTTATTATTTGTTTATGAACTTGTCAGTAATATTACTATAGAAGAGTTCTTTCGAATGAGATTTAGAAATCAATTGCTTGTCAGTTTGTTTATATCTGCTAATCAACGTTAATTACTATTACTATACCTTTAATTTAGACTTATTACAGAGAGTTCTATTCGTTTTATTGAACGTTTATTAAATTTGTTAAAGAAATAAATTGAGAAATAAAATAGGTTAAGTATTTTGTCAAATTTTATTTCTTTTCTATGTATAATCTATAGAAGATTTGTTCACTGAAAATGTATACTTATTATCTCAATGCAGACCTTTGAAGTTGCTTTACCTTTTATCTTGTTACAGGAGCATCGTTCTAGAAATAATTGTACTACGATTTAACGATGTTTCCTTTGTGTGATGGTTTTAACAGTTTTTGTTAGATTTCTCCTCTTTCTATATCGATCGGTAAGGATAGTTGATAATTACTTGCTGTTGGCCAAGCCGATTAAAAGCTTCGCGAGACAGAGAGACGAGTCTGGACAAAACCGTTCAACACAAACTATTGACGTTGAATTTATATTTTTACGTATTTTGATTCTTTTTTCTTTTCTGCTCTTAATCATCTTTGATTTTATATAATTTTTACGTGTTTTATTTATATACATTACAACAGTAACGTTATAGGTGTCTTTGATATACAAAGTTTAGTTACAATATACGAAAAATAACATTTTGTTTTAAATGTTAAGTATTTCGTGGTTGTACATTGTGGTCGTGTTTGTTGGATTTTTTTAATATAAAAATATTTACTACAAATTTGAAATACAAATTTTTTATTTAAACAACTTTGTGTAGGTAATGGCAGTATTTCTGCGAAAAATATGACCATCCTTATTTTGTATTATTCATTGTAAGATTAATAGGTTTGCAACATCATGTTTTATGTACAAAGGTATTCATTATAATTGTAGTATTCACGATTTCTTGAATGATTTAGAAATATGTGAAAAAAAGTATATATAGAAATAGTTTTTAGTTGGCAATAAATTATATTAATTAAAATGACTTATTTTCTAAAAATTAGAATTCTTTGTATTGTAAAACAAATTAATATAATTGTAATTATCTTTTATTAACAAAATGAAATTAGGAAATTACAAATTAAAATACTTTTATTGTTATCGTAAGAAAGTACATACTGAAGTCGTCAAAAATTAGAACTTTATCTACCTGGAAATTAATCTTTTGATAATAATTGAGCAATTCTTAAACACTGTATATGTATCCATTCTAATAGTGTAATCCAGGAAGTGGTGACGAAACACGATATGAAAGTGATGTTACCGTATACAAAAATTTTAAAACGTAAACTATGTAAGTACATATCACTAAAATTTCTGAACAAATAATTGATTGCTAGTGGCAGAATAAAATTTACACATTACATAGTTGTATTATAAATTTTAAGAGACTGTTCTGTTCATTGAAAAATATTCCAATATTTTCATTTCTTAACATATTTCTTTATTAACCTCATACTTTTCAATTTTACTAAGCATTGGAAACAGTTAATAATATTTTATTTAATATTTAGGATTCAATCGCTTTTATTTTTTAAGTGTCTGTAATGTAGAATATATTCTTTTAATCGAATATTCCAGAATTCGCGTGGAAACCTCTATGCAATCATTACTTTAAAATAAATCTTGAAAAGATTCCACAGAATAAGAATTAGATTTTTGAATTTCCAACATATCACGAACGAAGAATGAAAATTGTAACGGTAGCAGATTGAAAGCATTTTCTTCGAGCGAGATATTCCATTAAGCACATTAAAAGCAATAGGACGTGCACAAAGATTTAATGCAAAAAGAGCATGTACAACGACGAGGGTGCAATTGAATTTATGCGATAAGAGCGTGGAGGGAGCACTGTCGTGTTCATACATGGTAGATGGTTTTTCCTCTCATGTGCTCAGCCATTGCCACTCCTGCACTACTCACTTTCTCTTTTCCAACTTGTCCTCTCTTCTTCGGCTCTTTTACCTTTTTTTTTATATTCCTTTCCTTTCTTCCGCATTTCCCTCTTGCTCTATTTCATTTTTATTTATCCTCACACCACATTACTTCTATCTGTCGCTACCCTTTTTCTTCAGAAATAACTCTTTGCCTCTTCGTTCCTCTGATTTTCTCTCCTATTTTTAATACTTATTCATCGAACCATCTTACAAGAGCAGCCCAGGCTTAAAAATCTGTTTTTGAATGCAACCCTATTCATGTTATAGTACAGATATTAAATTTGTATATAATTATACTAAGACTATTAGAAGAATCCTACTATAACAAGATGTCGTGGCAGCAGTGGTAGCA